TATATATATATATATATACATATAAATATATACACATATAAATATATATACATATAAATATATACATACACATATAAATATATACATATATATATACACATAAATATATACATGTATATACACATATAAATATATACATATATATATATACACACATAAATATATACATATATATATACACACATATATATACATATATATACACACACATATATATACATATATACACACATATATATACATATAAATACACATAAATATATACATACACACATATATATACATATAAATATATACATATAAATATATATACATATATACACATATTCATATATATACATATATATGAATGTGTATATATATATACATATATATATATATACACACACATATATATATAAATAAATATATATATACACACATGTAATTAAAAAAAAAGGTTAGAAAATTATTGAATAAAATTTGTAAATAGAAGTTTTGGCAGAGGCAACAGCTTCATCCAGCTGTTCTGGGAGGACTGTTCCCAGATCAGCCAAGAGACGGTCTCCCCAGCGTGTCCCGGGTCTTCCACTGGGTCTCCTCTGAGTCAGACATGCCCATAATCAGAACCCTTTCCAGGTCATTTTCCTTATCCAGACCTGGAAAATGCTAAACTTAACCACAGTTTAGGTCTTATCACCGATTTATAAAAAAGCTTTTAATGATGAGGCAGAAAATCTTCAAAAACAACTTTAATGTGCATGAAGACATGAACGACAGATGACATTAAAGCGTACGGGGCAAACAGCTTCTAAAATCAGGTATGATGTGAGAGAACGACAAAAAAAAATAATATGGGAAGGTCCGAGTCTAGACAGATGTACTGAGTTTCTGACAAATTAGTTATTTAATCAAATCTGTTTGGAGGTCGACAATGAATGTTTCTGGTTGTCTCTTGTGGAAAAGCAAAGAATCCTCAAAAGATTAAATACATGAGGAATAGCAGAGCTGATGTTTGTCAGATGATACGACTAGTGGACTTCACAGCTCCTCAGCCCTGGATAAAAAAAAAAAAAGAAGAATATTAAGGAGAACAGCAACTTTTATTTAATATTTTTAAGGATAAAGGAGCAGAAGCTGCTGTTGTGTAGACTGACGTCTTGCTCTTGTAGAATCTGTGGGTGTTCGCCAGAAAAGGCGTAGGAAAATAAAATCATGATTTATGGCATTTTATTAACTTTGTCCTTCATAAAAACACAATTAGGAACCTTTCTCCACATCTGTGTCAAAATCAAACAGTCTCCACTGTGTGAAAATATTGCTCGCTTTTTGCTCTTCCGTGTCCTTTCATAAAAGAATCCTTGGACTGAACTAAGCTCACATAATGCTGACCATGGTCCACGAGTGTTATCTTCCATCAAATGTGTTCCACAGTCCTCTACTTTAAGATGCATGAAGGGAGCGAGCTTCAGAGGAGAGTCACGATGCACTCCAGCCTTCACAAGATCAAGTTGGAATGTGGTGGGAGGCGGCGGCTTATTAAGAAGAAGAAAAAAAAGTGTTTTCGATGGCAGCAGCACCCATTTTTCTGTAGCAACTGTGTAATTAGTCAGTAATTACACTAATTACACGGTGCTAATTAGACTGAAATGACAGAAATTTGGGAGCTGCTATTTTGAACTGTTGTGCAATGATGATTTTTCTTTTCAGAAGACAGAAATGAGTGCAAACACTCCATATAGCAGAGCACAGGGGTAAGCAACCAGTAACTGCTGCCCGTCCATGGCCAAAGCTGAGATGAAGATCTTCGAGGCTGAGAAACTGCACCAGCCAATGATTGTTGCCGTTAGTATAATCCCCATCATACCCCTAAAAAAGACAAAATCAGAAAGTTAGCCTGGATCATTCTAAAGCAATTTTACTAAATATCTGAATCTTGCAACAAATGACAAAATCCACTTGATTGTGTCGGTTAAACTGAGTTCATTATGTAAACAAATTAGGGAATGACTTTAGGCAAGTAAGTCTGTTCCCCAAACTCACAGCTCGGTCGTTAAAAACTTTTCCATTTACGGTTTGGTTTATGGTTCACAGCAGCAATGACAATGGAAAACAATTTGATCATAAACACTAAACAAAAATAATGAAAGCTACATCATTCTCTGGATGACTCAACAGGTACCATAACTTCCGGACTATTGAGCGCACCTGAATATGAGCCACGCCCACACACACACACACAAACAAACAAAGTACATATATAGGCAGCGCTTGTCTATAAGCCGTGGGTGTCCACACTGAACATGAGATATTTACGCAGAAATATTTTTTAAAACTCCTAATTAAATACATACCAAACACAAATACATAAAATGTTTTTTTGATCTTCCTTCCTCCTGTGCACTGCACGTGCTCCATCACGCAGCTGCTTTTCGAAACCTGTTGGTGATACAGGTTTTACCCTGTTCCGCTCTCAGGATCCACTGGCAGAGTTGAGCTAAAGTTGCTCTGAGCCTGCGGCCAGTTGTGGTAAACGATTTCTCGCCTCTAGTCATCCAAGCCTCCCACCGAGCTCGAAGTGTCACTTTAAATGTACGATTCACACTGACGTCAAGTGGCTGCAAACATTTCATTATGCAAAATGGGGAGGGGGTGACCTGTGATCTGTTTGCTAATTTCATTGGTCAGACTTAATGTTTTAAACTTTATCTATACAGGTCGTCTCATTGAGTCACGAGGACCCGCCCCACAGGAGAGACATGCAGCTATGCGAGCGCCTGGGTGTGATGAGGCTAAATGTTTTGGCAGCAGGAATCTCGTTAGCCCGTTAAAAAATAAATAAAATCCATAAATTAGCCGCAGCATTGTATAAGCTGCGGTGGTCAGAGTGTGTGAAAAAAGTAGCAGCTTATAGTCCAGAAATTACGGTAATTTTCAAACATTATTTACTTACAATAATGCTGTTTACACCAACACGAACTGCCTGTATCGCACAGGAAACAGATGTTCAGTTCACCTGGATATTTAACTTTAATATGTTTTCTCCTATTTAAATCTCTTCATTTGATTTTGTTTTTGCAGCTTTTACAACTGTTTTTTATTTTCAGTCTGTTAGAGGCCCTTTTATATGGAACATCAAAATGCTCAAAATTAAATAAATAAAACAATATGAAATAAGAAAATATTCATTTTTATTATTTTATTTCATAATGATGTTTTTGATAACGGCTTATTTATTTCATAATGACTTTTCAGCAGAATGACTTCAGCCGTCAATCAACGTCAGTGGGTTGGACCTGCACGCCCACTGGCTGATCCTTCACATCCATTAGTTTGCCTGCTGCTCACTGGCACAGCTAGCCATAACAGCTAGCAGGGACATGCTAGGCCAACAGTCATGAAGGATGGCAGCTGCATGAACTTCGTTCAGCTCAGGTAACTTCAGCAGATCAAACTGAGGGGTTCATGCAACTCTGCCATCCTTCTTCTACTTCTGGGCATTTTGGTGTTCCATACTTTTAAACACATTGTTCAACCTTGTTCAGTGTAGTTTTACTTTTTATTCCAATTATTTCTATTACTGGAAATTTTAAGTATGAGATTATTTTAAAAATCACCTGAGTCCCAATTTCAAGAATTTGATCTGATCTAAAATGATAATATGGCAAGTGGAGTGAAACAAAGTATTGTGACATGAATTTGATTTGGTTTAAGAGTCTGTGGACAAGAGTTTTGTGCATTCTGACCTATAAACAAACGACACTACGTTTCAGAGCATAAACTGTTTCGCTGCAAACTCACTGTAATGAGAGGAGGACTCCAAAGCTGGAGAGGAGGATCATGGGGAGGAGGCAGTATCCCAGCACGCTAGCCACGCAGCCGAAGGACACGCCCGTCATGCTCATGAGGTTGAGCAGACAGTACATTGCGAGGCAGCCGATCGCACTGATGCCGTACACGTAACCAAACTGGATTTTACCTGACTGGAAGCAGAAAAAAGAAAATGCACATAAAGACTCATACGTATGGTTTAAAAACATAAATGAGGAAATGCCATATAAACTTCCAGGTTTTAACATTAATCTGAGTAAGTTAGAAAGCAAAGGGTGAAATGACACATCTCACTAACAAGCTGTCGTGGTTCTGCTTCAATGTGACTCAAAGTAAGTCACTTATTTAGTGTATAGTTGAGCTGATTACATGAGACAAAAACTGCACCAGAATAAGCATTAGAATGGGTAAAGAAGTATTTAGGTACTCTTCATGTGTGCTAGGTAAATCGTTTTGATGAATGGCTGTAGTATAGAACCAAAAGGACAAAACATATGTAACTATCAAAATGCAATCTGTATTTTCTTTTGACATCAGAATCTACCCGGTGATTTACCAAGAGGAGTGTCGCCCCAAAGGCCAAACAAAAGACCATCGGACCAGCCAGGTCTGTCTCGTTCATGATGCTGCCATCTGCTGCTTTCATGGGATGGAGCACTGTCAGAGTCTTCTGCCAGATGTGGTCAAAATTGATGCCCAATTCTAAGAGGGGACAAAAATGACACCTTTAGAATACCACAGCAGTGACCAAACACTTTTAAACAATTATACAATATAGTCATACAATTTTTATGGGTGTTTTTCACCCCCATCTTTTATTAACCATGATGAATTATACTCGTGTTTTGAAATACTGTATGTGGATTTATTATCTTTGTGCTGCTGCAAATCTTGGCCAGGTCTCTCGCAAAAATACGTTTTTAATCTCAGTGAACTCTATCTCGTTAAATAAAGGTTTAATAAAATAAAACGATAGTAAAGATATAAAATACAAATGTTCTAAAGCAGTGTAATAATTGCACAGTTTCTCTTCCAGGAACTTGAAATTATTCCGAAGGAAACTGTACAACTTTTAAATGCAACAAATAATGAATAAACACCTGAAAAAGCAAACGCTCGCATGACTAAATCGACACGTCAGTTGATTTATACAGCCACTTGACCAAGTGATAGTATCAAGACTTAGTGTTGTGAAATATTCATGGAAAAAAATAAAAAAACACACACACACCCACAACAAGCAGTTTGCTACACCCAAAATGTTTTAGTAATCATGCTCTTTCATTTACCTTCTAGCAGTGGCGGCTCATCATCGAAGCTGTTACTGTACATGGACTGTGATGTGGATGGGTTGTAAGTCTGTGTAGGCTGGAAGATTTGTCCTGTGTACGGCTGCTGAGGCTGCATCATTCCTGGGGTAGAATAGCCCATGGGCTGGGAGTAATCGTACTGACCGTATGGCCTGGGAAATGTATGTTGACAGTGATTGATGAGACACAAAACAGTATAAAAAACCCTGCATCAGCTGGCACTTGAGAAAAAAAAAAAAAACATGAATCATAGCATGTAACAAAGTAATGTATTCTACAAAAAAAACATCTTCCTCATATACACACAGATTTTGCAATATCTACTCATCACTTAAAACATCAACATCAAATATGGTTTAAGCAGAGGCTTAAAAATGTCTCAGAGTAGGTTTAAGCTCTTGCATTGGCAATTTACAGATATGATTTCCAAATCAATGACTAGAGGAGAATTGGACAGAACCAATTTTTTTTCTTACTTGTTGTAAGGGTTTTCTGAGTTGCTGTAGCCATAGCCACCCTGGTTTTGGTCCTCTACACTGTAGCTGGACTGGTAAAAGTCTGTGTTGAAGTTATCAAACCCCGACATTTCTTGCTCTGTTGGCAACAAAATGACATAAATGAAAATATGAATCATTTAAGAGATTTCGGATTTTTTTCCCATTGGTTTGCATCTTACATAATTACTAGTAAGTATCCAAGTAATCATTTTAAGGGCATTTTAGAAGTTTTATTTTGAGTGAACCTGAAAACACAATAAGAATCTAAACAACTACATCCACGTTTAGGAATATTTAGCCACCAACTAGAAGTTTAGTCATTTAGTCAGAGAGCTTTGGTTTAATTATTTAAATTTTGGTAAACGGTGCTGCCATTAATTTAGATTTAAACATATTTACACATAAAACGTAAGGCAATATTAGAAAAAAAGGCTTTAAAATAAAAACATCTTTGAAGAATTAACACTAAATTAAGCCAATTTCTGTTTTATGAAAATATGTGTCTTCTTTCAGTTATATTTGTATAAAAATCAAGGATATAAATTTTTATAAATGCGAATAGTTATTCAAAAGTAGAACAAACATCATCATCTGTAAAACATGCAAACTGCCTTGCACTGAAAACAACAACAGATAAATACATTATGGTGTTTGGAATATAACGTGATCCACATAATTCTTTTTTTTAAAAGGTAAGTAAATGGATATATTGTAACAGCCAAACTAAATATCTGATCTCAACCGTATTTAGCTCAAAACACAAAAAGCAAAAGTTTGTCAACAACTAAAGTCAGCAAAAGTGAAGGAGTTGAACGCAAAGTTTATTAATGACGTTAAAGGATGCAACATTTCAATGCGTATTGTTTTTAACAAAGCTTATAGATTAACAATCAAGGTACACATTATAAGCAAGTGTCCAAATAATTGTCTCAAGTCTCATTTCAGTGTTTCCAAAACTCACCGAAAAATGACTGTTTTATTTATGTCAACACTAGCGACGAGAGCAGCGTTAGCTTGTTAGGGATAACTGTAGCTTCTTTAAAAAAAAATGCTTCCGCCTTCACAAATAAAAACCAAAATACATGCTGTAAACCGTTTTGTGGATCTTAACCATTAGGTGTACAAACTATCAAGCTACTTGGAAAAGCGAAATCGACATGATTGTTTCAAACTAGCTGTTAGCATCTTTTCCATCAGCCTGGCTACCCGTTCACTCAGCTAGTTTGTTAGCTTTAACGGTCGTAAAGCCGTAACTTATAAATATTGCATCCAGTGCGTTTTATTTTACTTAATTCATTACAACGTAACCTTTATCTTCATTATCAAAAAGCATCATAACACAGTGACTTGCCTGTGTGCCAGCGGACAACTCTAGAGCCCTGCCAACTTGACAGTGGTTGCTACGTGTCAAGAGAAAGGTGGGGTACGGGAAGTTGTAAGGGACAAGACACATTACGCGTTGTAGGCAATGCAGCGCCATCTATAGATAAAGATTAGTACTTCATATACAAATCGTTTAATTTCATTAAAACATGGTATGGTATAAAGTTTATTCATTTAAAAAAGGTACAAAACAATTCCATA